GTAGTAAGACACCGACTCGTCTAACGTGACGTCCTGAGAGGACAGAACACGACACGAGGTGGGGTGGTAGAACTGCCACCCGGGTGCGTTAGGGGGGAAGCCTAGGAAGACATTGGGAACGGCACGGGAGGACAGCTTGTCCGCTGAAGTATCGCGAACAAAAGCTCGAGATCCCCAGACACGGAACGCAGACGCATCACCAATCTTCCCCGTCCACCTCAGAGTAGGTGTGGTCTCCGGCAAGGAGACACGAGGCTGAAGGTTGATCTGATGCGCCGCGTACTGAACCGCGAACGGCCACAGAAAATGGGGAGCAGCCGCATGGATCATGGACGTACGAGCGACGTCCATGACCATGCCAATGCGGCGCTCAGCAACCCCATTTTGCTGCGGGGAGGCCGGAAGCATGAACGTCTGGCGGATGCCCTCCGCACGACAGAAGGCCCTCAGGAGGTCGGAGGAAAACTCACCACCTCTGTCTGAGTGCAGACGCAGAACAGGAAGGTCCGAGCCGAAACGCTCGCTGAGTTGGCGACGGGCACCGCGGATCCAGTCGATCAACACCTCAGTGACGTCACCCTTGCTGCGCAAGGGGAAGACTGAGGTGTAACGCGAGTAGTCGTCAACGACCAGCAGGAAGTAACGCTCGTGACCCTGTCCACGGACGCGGGCTGGGCCCCACACGTCCATGTGAAGAGTTTGCAAGGGAGCCTCGGTCGGAAGGAACGAGGAGGAGTGAGGAGCGGCGCGCTGCCGGCCCTCGACACAGGGAACACAGGTGGGGGCAGGCCCCGGAGGAAGGGGAGGAAGGCACCGGGGGAGACCCGAGACAAGGGTACGGGAGGCCATGCCTCGAAGACGAGGCAGGGAGGGGTGACCAAGGCGGTGATGCCACAGGAGAGTCTCGTGTGTCAGAGGACGACACGAGCAGGGGGCAGACGCAGGACTAGACCTGGACGCAGCAGCAAACACCTGACTAGACGCGGCTACCTGACCAGACGCAGAGACCGGAGGGGGCGCAGTAGTCAGTGTGTAGAGACTCGACCCTGGCCGACGGGTGAACGTGGCCAGGTGGCGGCCCGTCCGAGAGCAAGTGCAGTGGGTCACACGCTGACCTCCAGGAGCGAACTAGTCAACCCACGCATCCTGGAGGTCAGCTCCACTCACCAGGTTCGTAGAGAACGAGGGGAGGTGGAGTCCCGACAGCAAGCCCGACGGGGCCGCAGGACACAGTAGAACCGTGGAAGAGTGCGCAAGGACTGGGCCCCCAGAGGGGTCAGCCAAGGAGACTGCCACAGGCCGACTGAGCGGCGTGAGCGTGGTGCTGTCTCTAAAGAAAGTGCGCGAAGCACCAGAGTCAAGTGTGAAAGTGTGCAAGGCCTCAGTAGGTGCAGTACCAGAGAGAGCAGACTCACCAGCACCTGGAGCAGCAGACTCACCAATACCTGGAGCAGCAGACGCACTAGCACCTAGAGCAGCAGCCTCAATGCCCGGGTCGGGCGGGACACTCAGGTAACAGTCACCCTCAGCACTATCAGTCAAAGCATACATGGCAGCAAGGATAGCATCAAAATCAAGATCAAAGATAGCAACATTCTGCCTAAGTAGATCACCCCAGCGAGGGAGCTCAACAGCGTCAGGAAACTGGGCGCGCCAGGCGTCAGTCAGGCGACCGAAGCAGCGCTGCGCAGTGTGTGACAGCCCGCACGTCTCCCCACGACGACTGCCGGTGCGAAGAACGTAAGTGCAGGGACCAGCACCCCCAGGCCTCCCACGCCCAGCGTACCACTCACGAAGCTGCTGGGCCGACGGGGTCTCACGGGAACGCGGCTGCTGCTGGCGCTGGCTACCACCAAAGCCTCCACGCTGCGCGGCTGCACCTCGACCAGCACCACCGCCACCGCCACCTCCGCCACCGCTGCCGCTGCCTCCACCACCGCTGCTGCTGCCTCCACCACCGCTGCTGCTGCCTCCACCACCTCCGCCGCTGCCTCCACCACCTCCACCGCCGCCACTGAAGCCCCCACTCCCGGCACTACCCCCACCTCCACCGCCACCCCCTCCGACGCCGCCCCCTCCGTCCCCCCCACCACCCTTGCTCCCCTTGCCCTTGCTGTTGCGGCGTCTCCCACTAGGGTCAGACGCAGCTCCAACCTCCTCAGTGCCAACGAGGTCGACAGCAGCAGCAGAAGCAACAGAGGGGAGAAGGGGGACAGGGGAACACCCCTCAAAGAAAGGGGTGCGACGGTCGCCGCGAGAAGCACGTACAGCTAAGATACTCTTCTCAGCTGCAGCTAGGCGCTCCTCTAGCAGGTCGACAGTGAGCTCGGTGGGGCAAAGGGAGAGAAAGTGGTCCCTGACTGAAGAAAGGGAGTCAGGGAGGCGGGTGACTAGGTAGTAAAGGGTGATGTACATGGGGGGGGGGGGGGTTCTTGGCACAGAACTCAGTGGGAAGGGCAGCGCGGTAGCGGGCGTCACTAGTGCGGAGGTGAGCAGCGAGGTCAGCGACTGTGGCAAAGGCGGCAAGGTCAGGGAAAAGGTACGGCAGCATGAGGCGGCTGAGGGCAGCAGTGGCAGGGGAGGAGTAGCGCGCAACTTCAGCGTCGTACAAAGACTGAGCAGTCTTGTACTGGCCAAAATGCGCGCGCTCAGCAGGCGGCAGGTGACTACGAACAGCAAGACGAGCAACAGCGTCACGAGTGGTCCACTGCGAGCGAACTGTACTGTCAGCATTGGCAGCAGGAGCAGTAGAGACACCAGACGTGTGATCGAAAAGGGATACCCCATCCCTAGAGTCACACTGAAGAAAGAGCTGCATGTCGTCAACCCAAACGTCAAAGTCAACTGCACGCCCCTCAGCATCAAAGGTGAGAACAGTAGGGCTAGCCATGGCAGCAGTAGCAGCAGTAGCAGCAGTAGCAGAAGTAGAGGCAGGGCAAGCAGAAGGGCAGCGCGGCTCGGCAGTGCGGCGCGGCTCGGCTGGGCGGCGCGGCTCGGCAAAGGCGGCGCGGCTCGGCTGGGCGGCGCGGCTCGGCAGGGCGGTGCGGCTCGGTTCCTGGCAGAGCGGTGCGGCAGCAGGCGGCGCGGCGCGGCAGGACAGCGCAAGTGCTTATCGGGGGCGGGTGCAGGGCAGGGCCGCGACAGGGGCAGCAGCAAGCCAGGGCCGCGACAGGGGCTGCTGCAGTGCAGAGGCCGCAACGGCGGCGAAGGCAGGGCCGCTACAGTGGGCGGCTGCAGGGCAGAGGCCGCGACGGGCGGCTGAGGCAGGGCCGCGACTAGGGCGGCAGCAGGGGCCTCGACGGGCGGTCAAAGGTGGGGGGGGCGCGACGGGCGGCAATGGGGCCGCGACGGGCGGTCAATGGGCCGCGACGGGTGGCAGAGGGGCCTCGACGGACGGTCAATGGGCCGCGACGGGCGGCAGAGGGGCCTCGACGAGCTGCAAAGGGGCCGCGACGGGCGGCAATGGGGCCGCGACGGGCGGCTAACAGGCCGCGACGGGCGGCTAACAGGCCGCGACGGGCGGCTAACAGGCCGCGACGGGCGGTAAAGGGGCCGCGACGGGCGGCTAACAGGCTGCGACGGGCGGCTAACAGGCCGCGACGGGCGGCTAACAGGCCGCAACGGGCGGCTAACAGGCCGCGACGGGCGGTAAAGGGGCCGCGACGGGCAGCTAACAGGCCGCGACAAGGCAGCTAACAGGCCGCGACGGGCGGCTAACAGGCCGCTACGGGCGGTAAAGGGGCCGCTAAGGGTGGCAAAGGGGCCGCTAAGGGCGGGCGACTGCGAAGGTAAGGCAGGCGCGAGGCGCGCTTCGGGCAGGGCAGGAAAAAAAAAATTCGTGGTGGGCCCTAAAAAAAAAACGTTCCCACGAGGGAACCTGCTCAGAATACCATGTCAGAATCAAGAACGGAATGAATGAACTAGACAGCATGTGGGTACAAGTATGAAAACCTAAAAGTGTTGTACCCTGTATTGACTACCCCACTACAGCCTAGATAGACTATAGCAGATATGTTTGACAGATAATAGCAGAGAGATACAGGCTTTTTATATGATTATAAAGGAATATGAAAAGTTCTACTTTAACTGTTTTTGCTGCTGCGATTCGATACAGTGCCGACTCGGGTAACTGCTCAGTATCGAGTCAGTTATGTGTCCTTGCTGTCGCACTGTACTTTTCGTCGAGTCAAAGGTCAGCGACCTTTGACCTTCGCGTAACCTCCAGCGGTTGCTTTTGTTGACTCGTGTGTTGCTTCGCTGTAGTCTTCTCTGTTTCATGTCGATACTTCGATACTTCAGAAGCGTTTAAGTTACTTGTTTCCAACAAAATCAAGACCAAGTGCAAGGGGGCAGAGGCAAATGTTCCAGCACTTGAGACTGCAGCTGAAAAGACGCATGCTGCTGAAGAAGGGCAGGTCTAAAGTAGTTAGCGACAGTGAAGATGATGAAATCAGATGTGCGTGTGACTGTAACACTCAGTGAATCAGACTCAGAGTGCTAGTTGGTTACTGTGATAGGCCTTCATGATTGTTGGAACTGTAATCAATGCAGGAAGGTTGAGGTTTTTTAGAATTTCTGATTGATCAGACAAGAATTTCAAATAATTCTGATGCATAAGACAAGACAAACTGAAAATTTCGGATGCCCGTCTGATGCATGAGGGGGGTTCGGGTACTAGCGAAGGGCCTAGCTCCTTCGCTAGATTACCGATATGCTTTATCAATTATGAATTGCGTAGTAGTTGTATTGTAACCACTTTCTCGTTATTGACTTCCGCACGATTTATTCGTTGAGAACAGAGACATGTGTTGTGCAAACTTCAACTTGCAAATTTTGAACGCCCAAAACCCCAGCGCTGGCAGTCCCCAGCGGAATAGCGTGCCATTCCCTCGCCACCGTCGCGCTCCCCTGGCGACTCTCCGCCCTGCTGTCTTCCGCCTCCTCCGCTTCCCGCTCCTCCTCGCGACTCTCCTCGCGTACCCCCAGGCAGAGTAAGCGCAATGGCGTGTTCCTCTCCCGCTGCCGTCGCGGTCATCGCGTCCGCGCGCCTCGCGTGGGCCTTCCCCCTCCTGCGCGTCCTCTTCGCCCCCGCCCCCGGATTCCCTTCCCCTCGCCGCGCCTCAGCCGTCGTGCCTCACCGCGCTTCTGCCTCCGTCGTGCCCCGCCCCTTCACATCCCCGCCCTCACCTCTTCTCCCCTCGCCGCTCTCCCCCATCGCTCTCAACCATCATTCTCCCTTCCCTGCGTGTGCGCGCCTGCCCTCCCCCTCCCTCCACCAGCCCCACTCGTCACTAAACCTCCCTCTCGCCCCTTACCCTCGCACCCTCTCGCTTTCTCGCCGTCTCGCCCTCTCAGCACGAGGAGAATCGCCGCGGCGCCGCGCAGCACGGCAGCAGCGGGCATGGCGGCGGCAGTGGCGGCGTGCGCCACGGCGCGGGTGGGGGCGGGCCTCAAGGCGCGTCTGCACGGTCTCGCCGCTTCGCCGCGACTCCTCGCGCCGCTGGTGGGTCGTCGCTGGTGGATCGCCTGTGCTCGTCGCTTGCCACGTGCTAGACCGCCCACTCGCCGCCCCCACTCGTCCCCCGTGGCACGTGTGTTCCCCTGCGCGCTGCCATCTCTCCACCGTCTTCCCGCCACCTCCTCTGCACGCTCTCCATTGCCAACCCATGCAACAAATCCCCTCCCCCCTGCCCCCCTCCTCACCCCTACCACCGTTTCACACCCCCCCCGCCAGCAGACAGCAGCGCGGGCGTTCTCGGAGGCGGCGGGGGTGGGGCGGGGGGGCGCGCGGGTGAGCATGGCGCTGCGCAGCGGCATCGTGGGGCTGACCAACGTGGGCAAGTCCACCCTCTTCAACGCCCTCGTGAGTCCACCCTCTTCAACGCCCTCGTGAGTCCACCCTCTTCAACGCCCTCGTGAGTCCACCCTCTTCAACGCCCTCGTGAGTCCACGCTCTTCAACGCCCTCGTGAGTCCACCCTCTTCAACGCCCTCGTGAGTCCACCCTCTTCAACGCCCTCGTGAGTCCACCCTCTTCAACGCCCTCGTGAGTCCACGCTCTTCAACGCCCTCGTGAGTCCACCCTCTTCAACGCCCTCGTGAGTCCACCCTCTTCAACGCCCTCGTGAGTCCACCCTCTTCAACGCCCTCGTGAGTCCACGCTCTTCAACGCCCTCGTGAGTCCACCCTCTTCAACGCCCTCGTGAGTCCACCCTCTTCAACGCCCTCGTGAGTCCACCCTCTTCAACGCCCTCGTGAGTCCACCCTCTTCAACGCCCTCGTGAGTCCACCCTCTTCAACGCCCTCGTGAGTCCACCCTCTTCAACGCCCTCGTGAGTCCACCCTCTTCAACGCCCTCGTGAGTCCACCCTCTTCAACGCCCTCGTGAGTCCACCCTCTTCAACGCCCTCGTGAGTCCACGCTCTTCAACGCCCTCGTGAGTCCACCCTCTTCAACGCCCTCGTGAGTCCACCCTTTTCAACGCCCTCGTGAGTCCACCCTCTTCAACGCCCTCCTGAGTCCACGCCTTAGTTGGAATTGACGGAGCTAGCGTTTTTTTCGGAACGTTTTTTACGGTCCGTTTTTTACGCTAGACAGAACCCTCCAAGAGTTTGACGGTGGTTTTGACGCTCTGGCGGGCAGGCAAAACAAAACTTTCGGGCAGCCGAAAAAAAAACCAGGGGGGGGGGAGGAAGGTAAGAGGGTTGTTGAACCTTCGGGCAGCCAACAATGTGATTTTTCCCCAAAAAAAAACCTCCATAAATAGTTCCATGCATACATAGTTCTCAACATTACTATTACCACCATCCGCCCCCACCGACTCCCACTTAAATACCATCCCACGATCACCCATCAAGTACTAAAGCGTGCCACAATCACTATCACGCCCTTCCCCTCTACGGTTTCTTCGGGTACTCCTCGTACTCGTCCTCGAACACCTTCGGATCCGCCTCATCCGCCTCCTCCTCCTCCTCCTCCCTTAGTTCGGAAAGACGCAGCTAGGACGCTGCGTCCTGCGTCCGGACGCAGCGTCCGGACGCTAGGACGCAGGACGCGCGTCCAGACGCAGGACGCACGTCGAAAATTTTTTCGGGCAGCCCGAAAAAAAAAATTTTCGATCGCGATTTTGGCATTCGCGATTTCGACGCGAATGTCGAAATCGCGAAATTTCCCCACCCCAAGCCCAATTCGCCATTCAAAACCAGCCCCCCTAACATTCCCTAACAACTAAACCAAAATTGAATTTCACTCAAACCTCTCAACCACTTAGCATCTACGAATCCCAACCTTTGTAGCCCACCACCACCAAGCACATTTAGCATGGCAACCTTTTGTGGCTTCTCATTTTCCCCTCACCAATTCTCTTTCGTAAACCCATAGAGGTTTTAGGTCTTAGCTTAGCTTACCACCTAAACTCCGCTATGGCTTCCTCGAGCATTCCTTCTGTGAAATGTGTGACACGTGACTCACCTTAATCTCAAATTTTGGGGGAAAATTTTGTGGTATGACACCCCCCCCCCCCCCTCTCCCAAGCCCTATACTATTTTTTTTGGCCTGCCCGGGGATTTTTTTTGCCCTGCCCGGGCTTGCGTCTTTTGGTGCGTCTTACAGGTCAAGGGTCAGCGTCCTGCGTCTGGACGCATGCGTCTGGACGCATGCGTCCAGGACGCAGGACGCGTCTTTCTGAACTAAGCCTCCTCCACGACATACCCCTCGGGAATAGGAGCCTCAGGGATGTTCCCCTTCACAACCCCCACCTGTGGGCCCTTGTGGAAGTTGTGCACGACGTTCCAGTTGTGCGCAACGTAAACAAGGTCGCGGCACTTCACTGAGCCAAGCTTGTTGCGCCTTGCAGTGTGCACCAAGTCCCACATAGACCAATTCCGCTCGCACGATGCGGCGGATACGGGCTGGGACAGAACACGACGTGCAAGGCGCGCCAGCTCGGGCCACTCAGTGCAATGCCACATCCACCACTGCTCCATCGTCTGCTTCCCTTGCTTCACCTTCTCCCGGGCCTCCATAGCCTTTGGCATCCCACAACTCCCCCTCGACTCCAAGTATGCTGTCACAGCCGCCTCCAAATCCACCTCCCTCCCCACCACTCCACTCATGGCGGGATACTTCTTGTAGAAGTCTTGGGCGCGCGCAATGAACTCCTTAAAGACCTTGGTGCACTCCACATCGACCCCGAATATTTCCTCGTCCTGGTTAAGCAGGTTCAAGATCCGGCCAGCCACGTACGTGCATGGCACACAGCGGTCCTTCAGAATGCGTGAGATCCGCAACTTTTCCGCCCTGCTCAGCTGCTGCTCATCCGCATCCAACACCTTCTCCATATCTTCCGTCAGCTGCAGCATGAGGTCGTACATGCGGCCCATCATCCCAGGTCTAGTCGAATCCGTCATGCGCATCACCTGATAGGGCCGTTGCAGCAGCTTCACAAAGAAGGCAGCAGACTTCCACCAAGCCGGATCAATCACCTCCTTTGCAAACTTCTCGGCCCCCTCCTCCCTGTCCCCCACCGCCCACCCCTTCCACAGGTCGCCCGTCACGAGCACAATCAGCTTCTGCTCCAACTCGCACAACCTCGACATCGCAATGTACTGAGTGCCAAAGCGAGTCCCTGCTGGACGCAACGCCTGCAGCACCTTACCCCCAGGCAGCGTCGGGTCCCTCAACATCGCGCGGGTCCAATGATGCTTGCGGAAGAAGTTTATCATGTCGTTCCCCCTGTCCACAAGCTTCTTCGCCCAGTCCATCTTCCCCACATCCTCCAACAGCAGGTCAATCACGTGGGTGGCGCATGGCGTCAGCTCAATGTGCGGAAACTCCACACCCAACTTCCGACACGCCGAGCGGTAGTTGCTCCCCCCATCCGTGCACAGCGCCACAACATTCTGGAGCCCGACCTCCTCCACGATGGGCCGTAACATGTCCGCAATGTAGGTGCCCGTCTTCTGATCCTTCCCACAGTCGATGCTCTCTGTAAACATCGCCCCATTGTCATTGATCAGGAGCACGTTCGCCTGTGCGCGCCCGTTGCGATCGGTCATCATGTCGCTCGCAATGGTGACACCCTGCTTCCCCCAAGTCTTCTTGATGGGCCCCAACCCCTCCTCGATCCGAATGCGGCACTGCTGGAGGCCGGCGCCGCCAACGTACTTGCGGCCGGGGGGGACGTAGCCGGGGCCTGCCTCAGCCACCGCCCTCAACATGTTGCGGAAGAGCGGGTGATCCGCATGGTGCTCGGGAATACGAAGGCCGGCGAAGAAGAGGCAGAGCGACTCATCGGCCTTAGCTTTTGTCACCGCCGCGTCGCCGCCATAATAGTCTGAAATTTTCCTCTTCCCACTAGGACCGAACCCACCACTAATCGCCTCCATCGCCGCGGCGGTTGCCTTCCCCTTGTCCTCTTTCGCTTTCCCTTTAGTCTAGTACAATGTCTTAATAGACTCTACCACATCCTTGGGAGCTTTGTGACAAAGGAGGACATCGCGATTCTTAGGTTGACCTTCCCAAACCGCGAGATGCTGAGAGCACCGCGTCGTGGACTTCATGAAATCGTGGGAACAAAATTTGCACATCGCCCTCTTCCCCTTGCCTTTCTTAGGATCCATAAAAAATAAAAAGTGCTTGTATGTAGAATGTTCCGGCATTTCTTCGTACTTTATTCCTTCGCTAGAACCAGCTATCGATGCTCCATGGGTGTCTTCATTCGATGTACTAGGGTTGGAGGAAGCCATGGCGGTAGGATCGGTTTCTAACCTTCTACTAAAAACGCTAACCCTTATGCCGCGCGCTAAGCTAGGAGTCGAGTTTGCTGCTGGTCGTAAACCTAGAATGAAGTCGCGGGAGTTGTGCTTGTGCTAAATGTGTGTCTGCAGGTTGCGTTTTGTAGTTGTTGAGCGGTTGAAAGGGGTGGGGGGGTTGTTTTTTGTGTTGTGGGTTTTCAGTGCGGTGCAATGTCGAGTGAATTTTGAAGTTGCGTTTTCGGCGCGAACTTCAATGTTGAATTTTTTTTGCGCGATTTTTTTTTTCCGATTTCGGGCTGCCCGAAAACTTTTGGGGGGACCGTCAAGCGTCAAAGTCCCCGTCCAGCGTCCAGCGTCGATTCGGTCCGAATTGACGCTTGACGCTGGCCTTCCCCAGCGTCAATTCCATCTAAGGTCCACGCTCTTCAACGCCCTCGTGAGTCCACCCTCTTCAACGCCCTCGTGAGTCCACCCTCTTCAACGCCCTCGTGAGTCCACGCTCTTCAACGCCCTCGTGAGTCCACCCTCTTTAATGCCCTCGTGAGTCCACCCTCTTCAACGCCCTCGTGAGTCCACGCTCTTCAACGCCCTCGTGAGTCCACGCTCTTCAACACCCTCGTGAGTCCACCCTCTTCAACGCCCTCGTGAGTCCACGCTCTTCAACGCCCTCGTGAGTCCACGCTCTTCAACGCCCTCGTGAGTCCACCCTCTTCAACGCCCTCGTGAGTCCACCCTCTTCAACGCCCTCGTGAGTCCACCCTCTTCAACGCCCTCAGGAGTCCACGCTCTTCAACGCCCTCGTGAGTCCACGCTCTTCAACGCCCTCGTGAGTCCACGCTCTTCAACGCCACTCCTCAACTCCACCTGCGCCCATGCCTTGCCTTGCCACACACGAGCCACTCGTTTCCTCCACCTCGCACTGCCTGCTTCTGAAAGCTGCTAAAATCGCTGCCTTCCTTTCAACAACCCCACTGCCTGCACTCTGCCTACTTTCCCTCCCAGCACGCACAATGCACTTCGTCCATGCCCCCCCTAGCCTCTACGCCCACGCCTTCATCTCCCGCGTCCTCTCTTCCACGCGCCCCCCTGTGAACGCGGGCAGGTGGAGAACGGCAAGGTGGTGGCGGCCAACTTCCCGTTCTGCACCATCGAGCCCAACGTGGGCGTGGTGGCCGTGCCCGACCCGCGCCTGGGCGTGCTCTCTGACCTCACCTCATCAAAGCGCACGCTGCCTGCCACGGTGGAGTTCGTTGACATCGCCGGACTCGTCAAGGGCGCCAGCCAGGGCGAGGTGGGGCGAGGGGATGAGGGGGGGGGAGAGGGGACAGGCAGGGCGAGGTGGGGGGTGGGGGGAATGAGGGGACTCTGTCGCATGGTTGGTGGTGGGAGGGAGGGTAGCAGAGGGGGTGCATCATTCCACCGTATGTGCAGTGTTTGCTGCCAGTCACACCGCAGTGCTTGCTCACTACAGTCCCTCTTGCTCTGCCTGCCTGCTTGACCGCCTGCCTGCCTGCCTGCTTGACCGCCTGCCTGCGTGCCTGCGTGCATGCATGTGTGTGTGCGTGCATGTGTGCGTGGCTGGCATGCATGCGTGCAGGGGCTGGGAAACAAGTTCCTGTCGCACATCCGCGAGGTGGACTCCGTGGTGCAGGTGATGTGCGCTCATGTGGTGCAGGTGATGTGCGCTCATGTGGTGCAGGTGATGTGCGCTCATGTGGTCACGACGAGGTGTGTGATGAGCATGTGGCATTGGGATGAGCATGTGGCATGGCATGAGCATGTGGCATGGCATGAGCATGTGGCATGGCATGAGCATGTGGCACGGGCGTGATTGGGAAATGGATGTTGCATGCTCTGTTCAATCGCAACTGACTTCAACTGCCACTTCCGCTCGCCTCACTCACCGTGTGTGCACGGGTGCATGTGTGCATGGTGGCCCACAGGTGGTGAGGTGCTTTGAGGACACGGACATTGAGCTGACCAAGGACCATGTTTTGAGACGTCTGAAATCACGCTTACTCTCCCGCGGATTTTATATGGAGAAATTGTTTGTTGCTTGGAAAACAGGTTGTAACTTGCAAAAGTTACTTGTTCGTGCGAGGCTTCCGAAACACCAGCTGGCGAGTTGTGATTCAACAACGTTACGCCTCGAGGAGTGAAGACCTCAGCCCCTCGGTTTTTTCCAGGGTGTTGTGGATTGGCTGCCCAGATTTCAGCCACGGTTGTACCCAACCTCGATTGTTTCTTGATGGGTAGTTCTTGCTTAAGGGTTGCTCTTTCTGCTCTAGTTTCTTATTCCGCTAGCACTGATGAAGGATTGACGGGGGTCTGTCCCAGTCGTCCGAAACATGTTTGCGTTTTAATCGTTGTAGTGGACTTAGAGCTCAGTTTCGATCTTGTTTTTTGAACTGGCAACACAAGAGTTTTAAACTCTACTGTTTTTCTTCTGCTAAAGAATTCTCCTAAGCTGCAGCTCGCCTAGTCTCATGGCTGAGGACACGGACATTGAGCTGACCAAGGACCATGTTCCACCTCCTGCTTCATCACTGCTTCTCCTACTCATTTAATACATGTAACTAATTCAGCACTAAGCACAATCATTCTGTTTCTGTGCCACGGCGCCATGATACCATGGTGCATGCGAACCCCCACCCCACCCACCATGCCGTGGTAGATAGAGAAGCGCTTGGAGCGGTTGAGCAAGAGTCGCTCCAAGGACCCCCAGGCTCGCTCCCGGGTGAGACCATGCCACTCCGCCCTGCGCCCTCCGCCTTCCGCCTTCCGCCCCCTGCCCTCCGCCCCCTGCCCTCCGTCCCCCGCCCCCTGCCTGCTTCGCCGTAGTGGCTTTGAGTCCCCCCTGTCCTTCCCTGTGTTCCCTCCGTACGCTCTGCTGTACTTCCCCCCCCATACCGCTTCCCATGTCCAACACACCGCTTCCCATGTGCACCTCACGTCCTCCCCTCGCCCCCTTCTCCCCCACCCCCCAGGAGGAGGTGGAGGCGGGGGCGTTGGAGCGCATAAGGGAGGCGCTGCTGGCGGGGGGGGCGGCGCGCAGCGTGGAGCTGAGCGAGGAGGAGGCGGCAGTGGTGGCGCAGCTGTGCCTGCTCACGGCCAAGCCCATCATCTACGCCGCCAACGCCGCTGAGACCAACCTTGCTCACCCCTCCTCCAACCCGCACGTGACAGCTGTGCGCCAGCTGGCCTCCAGTGAAGGCGCCGAGTGCGTCATGGTCTCTGCGCAGGTCCGTTGCTCCGTTGGTTCTTCTCACTGCCCCATTCGCCTATTACTCAGCCCACCCTCCCTGTACTCACCCTCCCTGTACTCACCCTCACCATACCCACCCTCACCGTACCCACCCTCACTGTCCGCACCGTCACCTTGGCGATGGGGGCACGGGGCCATGGCATGGTAGGTGGAGGCGGAGCTGTGTGAGCTGGGCGAGGCGGACCGCGCGGAGTACCTGGCAGCGCTGGGCGTGCAGCAGAGCGGGGGGGCGGGGCTGGTGCAGGCCACGTACAGCGCGCTGGGTCTGCGCACGTACTTCACAGCGGGGGAGAAGGTGAGCAGGGGGAGAAGGTGCGCGGGGAGAGAAGTTGAGCGGGGGGAGAAGGTGAGCGGGGGGAGAAGGTGAGCGGGGGGAGAAGGTGAGCGGGGGAGAAGGTGAGCGGGGGGAGAAGGTGAGCAGGGGGAGAAGGTGAGCGGGGGGAGAAGGTGAGCAGGGGGAGAAGGTGAGCGGGGGGAGAAGGTGAGCGGGTGGAGAAGGTGAGCGGGGGGAGAAGGTGAGCAGGGGGAGAAGGTGAGCAGGGGGAGAAGGTGAGCAGGGGGAGAAGGTGAGCAGGGCTGGCAGACGAGAGGGGGAGAAGGTGAGCGGCTGGCAGACGATAGGGGGAGAAGGTGAGCGGCTGGCAGACAAGAGGGGCGGAAGGTGTGCGGCTGGCAGACGAGAGGGGGAGAAGGTGAGCGGCGGCTGGCAGACGAGAGGGGGAGAAGGTGAGTGGCTGGCAGACGAGAGGGGGAGAAGGTGAGCGGCTGGCAGACGAGAGGGGGAGAAGGTGAGCAGGGCTGGCAGACGAGAGGGGGAGAAGGTGAGCGGCTGGCAGACGAGAGGGGGAGAAGGTGAGTGGCGGCTGGCAGACGAGAGGGGGAGAAGGTGAGCGGCTGGCAGACGAGAGGGGGAGAAGGTGAGCAGGGCTGGCAGACGAGAGGGGGAGAAGGTGAGCGGCTGGCAGACGACAGGGGGAGAAGGTGAGCGGCTGGCAGACGAGACGGGGGGAAGGTGAGCAGGGCTGGCAGACGAGAGGGGGAGAGGGTGAGCAGGGCTGGCAGACGAGAGGGGGAGAAGGTGAGCAGCGCTGGCAGACGAGAGGGGGAGATGGTGAGCAGGGCTGGCAGACGAGAGGGGGAGAAGGTGAGCGGCTGGCAGACGAGAGGGGGAGAAGGTGAGCAGGGCTGGCAGACTTAGGGGGAGAAGGTGAGCAGGGCTGGCAGACGAGAGGGGGAGAAGGTGAGCAGCGCTGGCAGACGAGAGGGGGAGATGGTGAGCAGGGCTGGCAGACGAGAGGGGGAGAAGGTGAGCGGCTGGCAGACGAGAGGGGGAGAAGGTGAGCAGGGCTGGCAGACGAGAGGGGGAGAAGGTGAGCAGGGCTGGCAGACGAGAGGGGGAGAAGGTGAGCAGGGCTGGCAGACGAGAGGGGTAGAAGTTGAGCGGCTGGAAGACGAGAGGGGGAGAAGGTGAGCAGGGCTGGCAGACGAGAGGGGGAGAAGGTGAGCAGGGCTGGCAGACGAGAGGGGGAGAAGGTGAGCAGGGCTGGCAGACGAGAGGGGGAGAAGGTGAGCAGCGCTGGCAGACGAGAGGGGGAGATGGTGAGCAGGGCTGGCAGACGAGAGGGGGAGAAGGTGAGCGGCTGGCAGACGAGAGGGGGAGAAGGTGAGCAGGGCTGGCAGACGAGAGGGGGAGAAGGTGAGCAGGGCTGGCAGACGAGAGGGGGAGAAGGTGAGCAGCGCTGGCAGACGAGAGGGGGAGATGGTGAGCAGGGCTGGCAGACGAGAGGGGGAGAAGGTGAGCGGCTGGCAGACGAGAGGGGGAGAAGGTGAGCAGGGCTGGCAGACGAGAGGGGGAGAAGGTGAGCAGGGCTGGCAGACGAGAGGGGGAGAAGGTGAGCAGGGCTGGCAGACGAGAGGGGTAGAAGTTGAGCGGCTGGCAGACGAGAGGGGGAGAAGGTGAGCAGGGCTGGCAGACGAGAGGGGTAGAAGTTGAGCTGCTGGCAGACGAGAGGGGGAGAAGGTGAGCGGCTGGCAGACAAGAGGGGGAGAAGGTGAGCGGCTGGCAGACGAGAGGGGGAGAAGGTGAGCGGCGGCTGGCAGAGGAGAGGGGGAGAAGGTGAGCAGGGCTGGCAGACGAGAGGGGGAGAAGGTGAGCGGCTGGCAGACAAGAGGTGGAGAAGGTGAGCAGGGCTGGCAGACGAGAGGGGGAGAAGGTGAGCGGCTGGCAGACGAGAGGGGGAGAAGGTGAGCAGGGCTGGCAGACGAGAGGGGGAGAAGGTGAGCAGGGCTGGCAGACGAGAGGGGGAGAAGGTGAGCGGCTGGCAGACGAGAGGGGGAGAAGGTGAGCAGCGCTGGCAGACGAGAGGGGGAGATGGTGAGCAGGGCTGGCAGACGAGAGGGGGAGAAGGTGAGCAGGGCTGGCAGACGAGAGGGGGAGAAGGTGAGCAGCGCTGGCAGACGAGAGGGGGAGAAGGTGAGCAGGGCTGGCAGACGAGAGGGGGAGAAGGTGAGCAGGGCTGGCAGACGAGAGGGGGAGAAGGTGAGCAGGGCTGGCAGACGAGAGGGGGAGAAGGTGAGCAGGGCTGGCAGACGAGAGGGGGAGAAGGTGAGCAGGGCTGGCAGACGAGAGGGGGAGAAGGTGAGCAGGGCTGGCAGACGAGAGGGGGAGAAGGTGAGCGGCTGGCAGACGAGAGGTGGAGAAGGTGAGCAGGGCTGGCAGACGAGAGGGGGAGAAGGTGAGCGGCTGGCAGACGAGAGGGGGAGAAGGTGAGCGGCTGGCAGACGAGAGGGGGGGAAGGTGAGCAGGGCTGGCAGACGAGAGGGGGAGAAGGTGAGCAGCGCTGGCAGACGAGAGGGGGAGAAGGTGAGCAGGGCTGGCAGACGAGAGGGGGAGAAGGTGAGCGGCTGGCAGACGAGAGGGGGAGAAGGTGAGCAGGGCTGGCAGACGAGAGAGGGAGAAGGTGAGCAGGGCTGACAGACGAGAGGGGGAGAAGGTGAGCGGCTGGCAGACGAGAGGGGGAGAAGGTGAGCAGCGCTGGCAGACGAGAGGGGGAGATGGTGAGCAGGGCTGGCAGACGAGAGGGGGAGAAGGTGAGCAGCGCTGGCAGACGAGAGGGGGAGATGGTGAGCAGGGCTGGCAGACGAGAGGGGGAGAAGGTGAGCGGCTGGCAGACGAGAGGGGGAGAAGGCGAGCAGGGCTGGCAGACGAGAGGGGGAGAAGGTGAGCAGGGCTGGCAGACGAGAGGGGGAGAAGGTGAGCAGGGCTGGCAGACGAGAGGGGTTGAAGTTGAGCGGCTGGCAGACGAGAGGGGGAGAAGGTGAGCAGGGCTGGCAGACGAGAGGGGTAGAAGTTGAGCTGCTGGCAGACGAGAGGGGGAGAAGGTGAGCGGCTGGCAGACAAGAGGGGGAGAAGGTGAGCGGCTGGCAGACGAGAGGGGGAGAAGGTGAGCGGCGGCTGGCAGAGGAGAGGGGGAGAAGGTGAGCAGGGCTGGCAGACGAGAGGGGGAGAAGGTGAGCGGCTGGCAGACGAGAGGGGGAGAAGGTGAGCGGCTGGCAGACGAGAGGGGGAGAAGGTGAGCAGGGCTGGCAGACGAGAGGGGGAGAAGGTGAGCAGGGCTGGCAGACGAGAGGGGGAGAAGGTGAGCAGGGCTGGCAGACGAGAGGGGGAGAACGTGAGCAGGGCTGGCAGACGAGAGGGGGAGAAGGTGAGCAGGGCTGGCAGACGAGAGGGGGAGAAGGTGAGCAGGGCTGGCAGACGAGAGGGGGAGAAGGTGAGCAGGGCTGGCAGACGAGAGGGGGAGAAGGTGAGCAGGGCTGGCAGACGAGAGGTGGAGAAGGTGAGCAGGGCTGGCAGACGAGAGGGGGAGAAGGTGAGCGGCTGGCAGACGAGAGGGGGAGAAGGTGAGCGGCTGGCAGACGAGAGGGGGGGAAGGTGAGCAGGGCTGGCAGACGAGAGGGGGAGAAGGTGAGCAGGGCTGGCAGACGAGAGGGGGAGAAGGTGAGCAGCGCTGGCAGACGAGAGGGGGAGAAGGTGAGCAGGGCTGGCAGACGAGAGGGGGAGAACGTGAGCAGGGCTGGCAGACGAGAGGGGGAGAAGGTGAGCAGGGCTGGCAGACGAGAGGGGGAGAAGGTGAGCAGGGCTGGCAGACGAGAGGGGGAGAAGGTGAGCAGGGCTGGCAGACGAGAGGGGAGAAGGTGAGCAGGGCTGGCAGACGAGAGGGGGAGAAGGTGAGCAGGGCTGGCAGACGATAGGGGGAGAAGGTGAGCCGCTGGCAGACGAGAGGGGGAGAAGGTGAGCAGGGCTGGCAGACGAGAGGGGTAGAAGTTGAGCGGCTGGCAGACGAGAGGGGGAGAAGGTGAGCGGCTGGCAGACGAGAGGGGGAGAAGGTGAGCAGGGCTGGCAGACGATAGGGGGAGAAGGTGAGCAGGGCTGGCAGACGAGAGGGGGAGAAGGTGAGCAGGGCTGGCAGACGAGAGGGGGAGAAGGTGAGCAGGGCTGGCAGACGAGAGGGGGAGAAGGTGAGCGGCTGGCAGACGAGAGGGGGAGAAGGTGAGCAGGGCTGGCAGACGAGAGGGGGAGAAGGTGAGCAGCGCTGGCAGACGAGAGGGGGAGAAGGTGAGCAGGGCTGGCAGACGAGAGGGGGAGAAGGTGAGCGGCTGGCAGACGAGAGGGGGAGAAGGTGAGCAGGGCTGGCAGACGAGAGGGGGAGAAGGTGAGCAGGGCTGGCAGACGATAGGGGGAGAAGGTGAGCGGCTGGCAGACGAGAGGGGGAGAAGGTGAGCAGGGCTGGCAGACGAGAGGGGTAGAAGTTGAGCGGCTGGCAGACGAGAGGGGGAGAAGGTGAGCGGCTGGCAGACGAGAGGGGGAGAAGGTGAGCAGGGCTGGCAGACGAGAGGGGGAGAAGGTGAGCAGCGCTGGCAGACGAGAGGGGGAGAAGGTGAGCAGGGCTGGCAGACGAGAGGGGGAGAAGGTGAGCGGCTGGCAGACGAGAGGGGGAGAAGGTGAGCAGGGCTGGCAGACGAGAGGGGGAGAAGGTGAGCAGGGTTGGCAGACGATAGGGGGAGAAGGTGAGCAGGGCTGGCAGACGAGAGGGGGAGAAGGTGAGCAGGGCTGGCAGACGAGAGGGGGAGAAGGTGAGCAGGGCTGGCAGACGAGAGGGGGAGAAGGTGAGCGGCTGGCAGACGAGAGGGGGAGAAGGTGAGTGGCTGGCAGACAAGAGGGGCGGAAGGTGTGCGGCTGGCAGACGAGAGGGGGAGAAGGTGAGCGGCGGCTGGCAGACGAGAGGGGGAGAAGGTGAGTGGCTGGCAGACGAGAGGGGGAGAAGGTGAGCAGCGCTGGCAGACGAGAGGGGGAGAAGGTGAGCAGGGCTGGCAGACGAGAGGGGGAGAAGGTGAGCAGCGCTGGCAGACGAGAGGGGGAGAAGGTGAGCAGGGCTGGCAGACGAGAGGGGGAGAAGGTGAGCGGCTGGCAGACGAGAGGGGGAGAAGGTGAGCAGGGCTGGCAGACGAGAGGGGGAGAAGGTGAGCAGGGCTGGCAGACGAGAGGGGGAGAAGGTGAGCGGCTGGCAGACGAGAGAGGGAGAAGGTGAGTGGCTGGCAGACAAGAGGGGCGGAAGGTGTGCGGCTGGCAGACGAGAGGGGGAGAAGGTGAGCGGCGGCTGGCAGACGAGAGGGGGAGAAGGTGAGTGGCTGGCAGACGAGAGTGGGAGAAGGTGAGCAGCGCTAGCAGACGAGAGGGGGAGAAGGTGAGCAGGGCTGGCAGACGAGAGGGGGAGAAGGTGAGCGGCTGGAAGACGAGAGGGGGAGAAGGTGAGCAGGGCTGGCAGACGAGAGGGGGAGAAGGTGAGCAGGGCTGGCAGACGAGAGGGGGAGAAGGTGAGCAGGGCTGGCAGACGAGAGGGGGATAAGGTGACCAGCGCTGGCAGACGAGAGGGGGAGAAGGTGAGCAGGGCTGGCAGACGAGAGGGGGAGAAGGTGAGCAGGGCTGGCAGACGAGAGGGGGAGAAGGTGAGCAGCGCTGGCAGACGAGAGGGGGAGAAGGTGAGCGGCTGGCAGACGAGAGGGGGAGAAGGTGAGCAGGGCTGGCAGACGAGAGGGGGAGAAGGTGAGCAGGGCTGGCAGACGAGAGGGGGAGAAGGTGAGCAGGGCTGGCAGACGATAGGGGGAGAAGGTGAGCGGCTGGCAGACGAGAGGGGGAGAAGGTGAGCAGGGCTGGCAGACGAGAGGGGTAGAAGTTGAGCGGCTGGCAGACGAGAGGGGGAGAAGGTGAGCGGCTGGCAGACAAGAGGGGGAGAAGGTGAGCGGCTGGCAGACGAGAGGGGGAGAAGGTGAGCGGCGGCTGGCAGACGAGAGGGGGAGAAGGTGAGCAGGGCTGGCAGACGAGAGGGGGAGAAGGCGAGCGGCTGGCAGACGAGAGGGGGAGAAGGTGAGCAGGGCTGGCAGACGAGAGGGGGAGAAGGTGAGCGGCTGGCAGACGAGAGGGGGAGAAGGTGAGCGGCTGGCAGACGAGAGGGGGGGAAGGTGAGCAGGGCTGGCAGACGAGAGGGGGAGAAGGTGAGCAGGGCTGGCAGACGAGAGGGGGAGAAGGTGAGCAGCGCTGGCAGACGAGAGGGGGAGAAGGTGAGCAGGGCTGGCAGACGAGAGGGGGAGAAGGTGAGCGGCTGGCAGACGAGAGGGGGAGAAGGTGAGCAGGGCTGGCAGACGAGAGGGGGAGAAGGTGAGCAGGGCTGGCAGACGAGAGGGGGAGAAGGTGAGCAGGGCTGGCAGACGAGAGGGGGAGAAGGTGAGCAGCGCTGGCAGACGAGAGGGGGAGAAGGTGAGCAGGGCTGGCAGACGAGAGGGGGAGAAGGTGAGCAGGGCTGGCAGACGAGAGGGGGAGAAGGTGAGCAGCGCTGGCAGACGAGAGGGGGAGAAGGTGAGCAGGGCTGGCAGACGAGAGGGGGAGAAGGTGAGCGGCTGGCAGACGAGAGGGGGAGAAGGTGAGCAGGGCTGGCAGACGAGAGGGGGAGAAGGTGAGCGGCTGGCAGACGAGAGGGGGAGAAGGTGAGCAGGGCTGGCAGACGAGAGGGGGAGAAGGTGAGCAGGGCTGGCAGACGATAGGGGGAGAAGGTGAGCGGCTGGCAGACGAGAGGGGGAGAAGGTGAGCAGGGCTGGCAGACGAGAGGGGGAGAAGGTGAGCAGGGCTGGCAGACGAGAGGGGGAGAAGGTGAGCGGCTGGCAGACGAGAGAGGGAGAAGGTGAGTGGCTGGCAGACAAGAGGGGCGGAAGGTGTGCGGCTGGCAGACGAGAGGGGGAGAAGGTGAGCGGCGGCTGGCAGACGAGAGGGGGAGAAGGTGAGTGGCTGGCAGACGAGAGGGGAAGAAGGTGAGCAGCGCTAGCAGACGAGAGGGGGAGAAGGTGAGCAGGGCTGGCAGACGAGAGGGGGAGAAGGTGAGCGGCTGGAAGACGAGAGGGGGAGAAGGTGAGCAGGGCTGGCAGACGAGAGGGGGAGAAGGTGAGCAGGGCTGGCAGACGAGAGGGGGAGAAGGTGAGCAGGGCTGGCAGACGAGAGGGGGATAAGGTGACCAGCGCTGGCAGACGAGAGGGGGAGAAGGTGAGCAGGGCTGGCAGACGAGAGGGGGAGAAGGTGAGCAGGGCTGGCAGACGAGAGGGGGAGAAGGTGAGCAGCGCTGGCAGACGAGAGGGGGAGAAGGTGAGCGGCTGGCAGACGAGAGGGGGAGAAGGTGAGCAGGGCTGGCAGACGAGAGGGGGAGAAGGTGAGCAGGGCTGGCAGACGAGAGGGGGAGAAGGTGAGCAGGGCTGGCAGACGATAGGGGGAGAAGGTGAGCGGCTGGCAGACGAGAGGGGGAGAAGGTGAGCAGGGCTGGCAGACGAGAGGGGTAGAAGTTGAGCGGCTGGCAGACGAGAGGGGGAGAAGGTGAGCGGCTGGCAGACAAGAGGGGGAGAAGGTGAGCGGCTGGCAGACGAGAGGGGGAGAAGGTGAGCGGCGGCTGGCAGACGAGAGGGGGAGAAGGTGAGCAGGGCTGGCAGACGAGAGGGGGAGAAGGCGAGCGGCTGGCAGACGAGAGGGGGAGAAGGTGAGCAGGGCTGGCAGACGAGAGGGGGAGAAGGTGAGCGGCTGGCAGACGAGAGGGGGAGAAGGTGAGCGGCTGGCAGACGAGAGGGGGGGAAGGTGAGCAGGGCTGGCAGACGAGAGGGGGAGAAGGTGAGCAGGGCTGGCAGACGAGAGGGGGAGAAGGTGAGCAGCGCTGGCAGACGAGAGGGGGAGAAGGTGAGCAGGGCTGGCAGACGAGAGGGGGAGAAGGTGAGCGGCTGGCAGACGAGAGGGGGAGAAGGTGAGCAGGGCTGGCAGACGAGAGGGGGAGAAGGTGAGCAGGGCTGGCAGACGAGAGGGGGAGAAGGTGAGCAGGGCTGGCAGACGAGAGGGGGAGAAGGTGAGCAGCGCTGGCAGACGAGAGGGGGAGAAGGTGAGCAGGGCTGGCAGACGAGAGGGGGAGAAGGTGAGCAGGGCTGGCAGACGAGAGGGGGAGAAGGTGAGCAGCGCTGGCAGACGAGAGGGGGAGAAGGTGAGCAGGGCTGGCAGACGAGAGGGGGAGAAGGTGAGCGGCTGGCAGACGAGAGGGGGAGAAGGTGAGCAGGGCTGGCAGACGAGAGGGGGAGAAGGTGAGCGGCTGGCAGACGAGAGGGGGAGAAGGTGAGCGGCGGCTGGCAGACGAGAGGGGGAGAAGGTGAGCGGCTGGCAGACGAGAGGGGGAGAAGGTGAGCGGCTGGCAGACGAGAGGGGGAGATTGTGAGCAGGGCTGGCAGACGAGAGGGGGAGAAGGTGAGCGGCTGGCAGACGAGAGGGGGAGAAGGTGAGCGGCTGGCAGACGAGACGGGGGAGAAGGTGAACAGGGCTGGCAGACGAGAGGGGGAGAAGGCGAGCAGCGCTGGCAGACGAGAGGGGGAGAAGGTGAGCAGGGCTGGCAGACGAGAGGGGGAGAAGGTGAGCGGCTGGCAGACGAGAGGGGGAGAAGGTGAGCAGGGCTGGCAGACGAGAGGGGGAGAAGGTGAGCAGGGCTGGCAGACGATAGGGGGAGAAGGTGAGCGGCTGGGAGACGAGAGGGGGAGAAGGTGAGCAGGGCTGGCAGACGAGAGGGGTAGAAGTTGAGCGGCTGGCAGACGAGAGGGGGAGAAGGTGAGCGGCTGGCAGACGAGAGGGGGAGAAGGTGAGCGGCTGGCAGACGAGAGGGGGAGAAGGTGAGCGGCGGCAGGCAGACGAGAGGGGGAGAAGGTGAGCAGGGCTGGCAGACGAGAGGGGGAGAAGGTGAGCGGCTGGCAGACGAGAGGTGGAGAAGGTGAGCAGGGCTGGCAGACGAGAGGGGGAGAAGATGAGCGGCTGGCAGACGAGAGGGGGAGAAGGTGAGCGGCTGGCAGACGATAGGGGGAGAAGGTGAGCGGCTGGCAGATAAGAGGGGCGGAAGGTGTGCGGCTGGCAGACGAGAGGGGGAGAAGGTGAGCAGGGCTGGCAGACGAGAGGGGGAGAAGGTGAGCGGCTGGCAGACGAGAGGGGGAGAAGGTGAGCGGCTGGCAGACGAGACGGGGGGAAGGTGAGCTGGGCTGGCAGACGAGAGGGGGAGAAGGTGAGCAGGGCTGGCAGACGAGAGGGGGAGAAGGCGAGCAGCGCTGGCAGACGAGAGGGGGAGAAGGTGAGCAGGGCTGGCAGACGAGAGGGGGAGAAGGTGAGCGGCTGGCAGACGAGAGGGGGAGAAGGTGAGCAGGGCTGGCAGACGAGAGGGGGAGAAGGTGAGCAGGGCTGGCAGACGAGAGGGGGGGAAGGTGAGCAGGGCTGGCAGACGAGAGGGGGAGAAGGTGAGCAGGGCTGGCAGACGAGAGGGGGAGATTGTGAGCAGGGCTGGCAGACGAGAGGGGGAGAAGGTGAGCAGGGCTGGCAGACGATAGGGGAAGGTGAGCGGCTGGCAGACGAGAGGGGGAGAAGGTGAGCAGGGCTGGCAGACGAGAGGGGTAGAAGTTGAGCGGCTGGCAGACGAGAGGGGGAGAAGGTGAGCGGCTGGCAGACGAGAGGGGGAGAAGGTGAGCGGCTGGCAGACGAGAGGGGGAGAAGGTGAGCGGCGGCTGGCAGACGAGAGGGGGAGAAGGTGAGCAGGGCTGGCAGACGAGAGGGGGAGAAGGTGAGCGGCTGGCAGACGAGAGGGGGAGAAGGTGAGCGGCGGCTGGCAGACGAGAGGGGGAGAAGGTGAGCGGCTGGCAGACGAGAGGGGGAGAAGGTGAGCGGCTGGCAGACGAGAGGGGGAGATTGTGAGCAGGGCTGGCAGACGAGAGGGGGAGAAGGTGAGCGGCTGGCAGACGAGAGAGGGAGAAGGTGAGCGGCTGGCAGACGAGACGGGGGGAAGGTGAGCAGGGCTGGCAGACGAGAGGGGGAGAAGGTGAGCAGGGCTGGCAGACGAGAGGGGGAGAAGGTGAGCAGCGCTGGCAGACGAGAGGGGGAGAAGGTGAGCAGAGCTGGCAGACGAGAGGGGGAGAAGGTGAGCGGCTGGCAGACGAGAAGGGGAGAAGGTGAGCAGGGCTGGCAGACGAGAGGGGGAGAAGGTGAGCAGGGCTGGCAGACGAGAGGGGGAGAAGGTGACCAGCACTGGCAGACGAGAGGGGGAGAAAGTGAGCAGGGCTGGCAGACGAGAGGGGGAGAAGGTGAGCAGGGCTGGCAGACGAGAGGGGGAGAAGGTGAGCAGGGCTGGCAGACGAGAGGGGGAGAAGGTGAGCAGCGCTGGCAGACGAGAGGGGGAGAAGGTGAGCAGGGCTGGCAGACGAGAGGGGGAGAAGGTGAGCGGCTGGCAGACGAGAGGGGGAGAAGGTGAGCAGGGCTGGCAGACGAGAGGGGGAGAAGGTGAGCAGGGCTGGCAGACGATAGGGGGAGAAGGTGAGCGGCTGGCAGACGAGAGGGGGAGAAGGTGAGCAGGGCTGGCAGACGAGAGGGGTAGAAGTTGAGCGGCTGGCAGACGAGAGGGGGAGAAGGTGAGCGGCTGGCAGACGAGAGGGGGAGAAGGTGAGCGGCTGGCAGACGAGAGGGGGAGAAGGTGAGCGGCGGCTGGCAGAGGAGAGGGGGAGAAGGTGAGCAGGGCTGGCAGACGAGAGGGGGAGAAGGTGAGCAGGGCTGGCAGACGAGAGGGGGAGAAGGTGAGCAGCGCTGGCAGACGAGAGGGGGAGAAGGTGAGGAGGGCTGGCAGATGAGAGGGGGGGAAGGTGAGCGGCTGGCAGACGAGAGGGGGAGAAGGTGAGCAGGGCTGGCAGACGAGAGGGGGAGAAGGTGAGCAGGGCTGGCAGACAATAGGGGGAGAAGGTGAGCGGCTGGCAGACGAGAGGGGGAGAAGGTGAGCAGGGCTGGCAGACGAGAGGGGTAGAAGTTGAGCGGCTGGCAGACGAGAGGGGGAGAAGGTGAGCGGCTGGCAGACGAGAGGGGGAGAAGGTGAGCAGCGCTGGCAGACGAGAGGGGGAGAAGGTGAGCGGCGGCTGGCAGACGAGAGGGGGAGAAGGTGAGCAGGGCTGGCAGACGAGAGGGGGAGAAGGTGAGCGGCTGGCAGACGAGAGGTGGAGAAGGTGAGCAGGGCTGGCAGACGAGAGGGGGAGAAGGTGAGCGGCTGGCATACGAGAGGGGGAGAAGGTGAGCGGCTGGCAGACGATAGGGGGAGAAGGTGAGCGGCTGGCAGACAAGAGGGGCGGAAGGTGTGCGGCTGGCAGACGAGAGGGGGAGAAGGTGAGCAGGGCTGGCAGACGAGAGGGGGAGAAGGTGAGCGGCTGGCAGACGAGAGGGGGAGAAGGTGAGCGGCTGGCAGACGAGACGGGGGGAAGGTGAGCAGGGCTGGCAGACGAGAGGGGGAGAAGGTGAGCAGGGCTGGCAGACGAGAGGGGGAGAAGGCGAGCAGCGCTGGCAGACGAGAGGGGGAGAAGGTGAGCAGGGCTGGCAGACGAGAGGGGGAGAAGGTGAGCGGCTGGCAGACGAGAGGGGGAGAAGTTGAGCAGGGCTGGCAGACGAGAGGGGGAGAAGGTGAGCAGGGCTGGCAGACGAGAGGGGGAGAAGGTGAGCAGGGCTGGCAGACGAGAGGGGGAGAAGGTGAGCAGGGCTGGCAGACGAGAGGGGGAGAAGGTGAGGAGGGCTGGCAGACGAGAGGGGGAGAAGGTGAGCAGGGCTGGCAGACGAGAGGGGGAGAAGGTGAGTAGGGCTGGCAGACGAGAGGGGGTGAATGTGAGCAGGGCTGGCAGACGATAGGGGGAGAAGGTGAGCGGCTGGCAGAGGAGAGGGGGAGAAGGTGAGCAGGGCTGGCAGACGAGAGGGGTAGAAGTTGAGCGGCTGGCAGACGAGAGGGGGAGAAGGTGAGCGGCTGGCAGACGAGAGGGGGAGAAGGTGAGCGGCTGGCAGACGAGAGGGGGAGAAGGTGAGCGGCGGCTGGCAGACGAGAGGGGGAGAAGGTGAGCAGGGCTGGCAGACGAGAGGGGGAGAAGGTGAGCGGCTGGCAGACGAGAGGTGGAGAAGGTGAGCAGGGCTGGCAGACGAGAGGGGGAGAAGGTGAGCGGCTGGCAGACGAGAGGGGGAGAAGGTGAGCGGCTGGCAGACGAGAGGGGGAGAAGGTGAGCGGCTGGCAGACAAGAGGGGCGGAAGGTGTGCGGCTGGCAGACGAGAGGGGGAGAAGGTGAGCAGGGCTGGCAGACGAGAGGGGGAGAAGGTGAGCGGCTGGCAGACGAGAGGGGGAGAAGGTGAGCGGCTGGCAGACGAGACGGGGGGAAGGTGAGCAGGGCTGGCAGACGAGAGGGGGAGAAGGTGAGCAGGGCTGGCAGACGAGAGGGGGAGAAGGCGAGCAGCGCTGGCAGACGAGAGGGGGAGAAGGTGAGCAGGGCTGGCAGACGAGAGGGGGAGAAGGTGAGCGGCTGGCAGACGAGAGGGGGAGAAGTTGAGCAGGGCTGGCAGACGAGAGGGGGAGAAGGTGAGCAGGGCTGGCAGACGAGAGGGGGAGAAGGTGAGCAGGGCTGGCAGACGAGAGGGGGAGAAGGTGAGCAGGGCTGGCAGACGAGATGGGGAGAAGGTGAGCAGGGCTGGCAGACGAGAGGGGGAGAAGGTGAGCAGGGCTGGCAGACGAGAGGGGGAGAAGGTGAGCAGCGCTGGCAGACGAGAGGGGGAGAAGGTGAGCAGGGCTGGCAGACGAGAGGGGGAGAAGGTGAGCGGCTGGCAGACGAGAGGGGGAGAAGGTGAGCAGGGCTGGCAGACGATAGGGGGAGAAGGTGAGCGGCTGGCAGACGAGAGGGGGAGAAGGTGAGCAGGGCTGGCAGACGAGAGGGGTAGAAGTTGAGCGGCTGGCAGACGAGAGGGGGAGAAGGTGAGCGGCTGGCAGACGAGAGGGGGAGAAGGTGAGCGGCTGGCAGACGAGAGGGGGAGAAGGTGAGCGGCGGCTGGCAGACGAGAGGGGGAGAAGGTGAGCAGGGCTGGCAGACGAGAGGGGGAGAAGGTGAGCGGCTGGCAGACGAGAGGCGGAGAAGGTGAGCAGGGCTGGCAGACGAGAGGGGGAGAAGGTGAGCAGGGCTGGCAGACGATAGGGGGAGAAGGTGAGCGGCTGGCAGACGAGAGGGGGAGAAGGTGAGCAGGGCTGGCAGACGAGAGGGGGAGAAGGTGAGCGGCTGGCAGACGAGAGGGGGAGGGTTGCAGTGCGAGGGGAAAGGGACACGGAGTTGCGAGGGGCGGTAGGGGGCCATCGCGATCAGTGTTGAGGCTTTCCATGCCCCATGCCTCAATGCCCCATGCCTGCACTGCCCCATGCCTGCACTGCCCCATGCCTGCACTGCCCCATGCCTGCACTGCCCCATGCCTGCACTGCCCCATGCCTGCACTGCCCCATGCCTGCACTGCCCCATGCCTGCACTGCCCCATGCCTGCACTGCCCCATGCCTGCACTGCCCCATGCCTGCACTGCCCCATGCCTGCACTGCCCCATGCCTGCACTGCCCCATGCCTGCACTGCCCCATGCCTGCACTGCCCCATGCCTGCACTGCCCCATGCCTGCACTGCCCCATGCCTGCACTGCCCCATGCCTGCACTGCCCCATGCCTGCACTGCCCCATACTCAATGCCTCACACACCTGCCCTGCGTGCGTGCTTGCAGGAGACGAGGGCATGGACTATCCGAGCAGGCATGACGGCACCGCAGGCAGCGGGTGTGATCCACACCGACTTCGAACGCGGCTTCATCCGCGCCGAGACCGTACCGCCCCTCCCCTCCCTCTCTCCCTCTCTCCCTCTCTCCCTTTCTCCCTCTCTCCCTCTCTCCCTCTCTTCCTCTCTCCCTCTCTCCCTCTCTCCCGCTCTCCCTCTCTCCCTCTCTCCCTCTCTCCCTGTCTCCCTCTCTCCCTCTCTCCCTCGCCACCTTGCTCCCTCGCCCCTCACCGCCTTGCTTCTCCTTGTACCTCGCTCTGTCTCCCCAGGCACCCACCACAAGTGAATTTTAGCAGCACGTGGTGTGCCCACAAATGTATTGCGTGTGGCTGCATCGCATCTCACTCCTTATCTCGCCCACCACAGCATTGGCGAGCTGTGCAGCCTTGGCACCTTGAGGAGGCTAACCTTGTTCTGTGTGCATGTGGGCGTGCATGTGGGCATGCATGTGGGCGTGCATGTGGGCATGCATGTGGGCATGCATGTGGGCGTGCATGTGGGCATGCATGTGGGCATGCATGTGGGCATGCATGTGGGCGTGCATGTGGGCGTGCATGTGGGCGTGCATGTGGGCGTGCATGTGGGCGTGCATGTGGGCGTGCATGTGGGCGTGCATGTGGGCATGCATGTGGGCATGCATGTGGGCGTGCATGTGGGCGTGCATGTGGGCGTGCATGTGGGCGTGCATGTGGGCGTGCATGTGGGCGTGCATGTGGGCGTGCATGTGGGCGTGCATGTGGGCGGGCATGTGGGCGGGCATGCGGGCGGGCATGTGGGCGGGCATGCGGGCGGGCAGATATCATACAATGACTTCGTGGCGAGTGGATCGTACACGGCTGCCAAGGAGAAAGGCCTCGTGAGTCACCTCAACTCAACTCACATTGCCTCGACCTGCAGGCGCATGCTTCTCTCTTACCGTCAATGCTTTGTTTCCATGCGTGCATCTCTTCTACCACACCATGCGTGCTTCTCTTCTACCACACCATGCGTACATCTCTTCTACCACACCATGTGTGCATCTCTGTTTCCATGCATGCTGCTCTGCTACCAGACGTGCTTTCTCTTCTCCCACTGTTGCTGAACGCACGTCTGTCTGTGCTCGTGTGCAGCTGCGAGCTGAGGGCAAAGAGTATGTCGTGCAAGAGGGGGACGTTATGCTCTTTAGGTTTAATGTTTAATAGCTTTTGAACCACTGACAACAAGTTGTAAGCGAAGGCTTGCACAAAATGTGTTGGAAACAAGTAATTTAACGCTTCTGAAGTAATCAAAGTATCGACACGAAACGGAGCAGACTACAGCGAAGCAACACGCGAGTCAACAAAAGTAACAGCTAGAGGTTACGCGAAGGTCAAAAGTCGCTGACCTTTGACTCGACGAAAAATACAGCGCGACAGCAAGGACACGTAACTGACTCGATATTGAGCAGTTACCCGAGTCGTCGCTGTATCGAACCGCAACAGAAAAAACAGTTAAAGTAAAACCTTTCATATTCCTTTGTAAACATATAAAAGCTTTGTATCTCTCTGCTATTATCAACTCATCTTGTTCCCACATAACAGTGCAAGGTGGTTCAGTAAACTCGCTATTACGCCCCCGCAATTACAACATTTCTACTCAAAAGGCCTTAGCCTTGAAAAGATCATAAGGGCTATTTCTCAGCCCAACATGGTATGAGAGCCTCCAAGGCAAGATCGATTACCCAAACTCCTACAACAGGCATGGCAACACAGAAGGAGAGGAGCTCCTCCAACAGATCTCCCGGCACTACTACTCCACCTCCAGCCTCTGGCCTACAGACAGAGTACCTAGCGTGACTTAGGAGCCATAGCTAGGTTAGAGTGTCGAGAGAATTGAGTGTCGAGAGGAATGTGCAAGGGAGAATCGAGAAAGAGATGGTTTCACTATAGGAAGTTGGGATACAAATAGCAAACCCTAAATTGCGTTGTACTCACTACAGAGTACCCCACTGCAGGCTAAACAGCAAATATATTCTAACACACCCCCATAGTCAAAGTGGGGTATAATCAGCAGAGCAAGCAGTCATAGAGCAGGTTCACAAGTACAAGCAAAGCTAGAGGCATTCACAAAGCGCAAGTGAGGAGGAGGAGGCTGGACTGTGAGAGGAGAGGAGATAGGAGGCGACGGCTGATGCTGCAGACACACGGGCAACAGAAGCGGCGCGCACTGTGGCTACCGGGGCCGTATCAGCGGACTACAGGAGTAACTGGCTCTACGGCTAACTCTGAGCGGCAGGAGCAACGGACCCACAGGCGACAGGCGCAGCAGGCTCTCTGAGCTACCAGAAGCAGAGCCCCGGACTACAGGTGCTGCAGACGACAAGACGGCAGCCTCCGGTCAACCTCCCCCAACTGTCCCACCCCCCTTTCACACACCCCTTGCTGCACCCCTAGCTCCACTCCCACATCACCCCCCTAGCACCACTCCCTCGGCTCCCACACACCCACCCCCCTCAGCGGCAGCTGCAGCAGTGGGAGACGGAGGAGGAGGAGGAGCAGGGGACGGTTTACACACCCGCCAACCCCATACCCTCCCCCCACTGCTGCACCTGCAGCAGGGGATGGAGGAGAAGTGGGGGGGGGGGGCTGGTGCTGCAAATCCCCTCCTGCCTCCCCCTGAACCTCCAAGCTCCCCCCCCCTCCCAACACAGGGTGCGGCAGGGAGAGAGAGAGGAGAAAAGGGCGGGGGGGGGGGGGGGTGCTGATGCTGCAAATCCCCTCCCCCCACTGCTCCTGCAGATCCCCTCCCCCCCACTGCTGCACCCGCAGCAGGGGTGGAGGAGAAAAGGGGGGGGGGGCGGGGGGGGGGCTGGTGCTGCAGGTCCCCTCCCCCAACTACCGCATCCGCAGCAGGGGGAGATAGGAGAAGGGGGGGGGCTGGTGCTGCAGATCCCCTCCCCCCCCACTGCTGCACCCGCAGCAGGGGGGAGGTAGGAGAAGGGGCGGTGCAGGAGCCGCTTGGGCGACAGCAGGTTGGCCACACCCGCCACCCCCATACCCTCCCCCCACTGCTGCACCCGCAGCAGAGAGATGGAGGAGAAGGGGGGGGGGCGGGGGGGGGGCTGGTGCTGCAGATCCCCTCCTGCCTCCCCCTGAACCTCCAAGCTCCCCCCCATCTCCCACCACAATGTGCGGCAGGGAGAGAGAGAGGAGGAGGCGTGGCGGCAGCTGCTGCTGCTGAGGCACATCCGCCACCCCCTCACACCCTCTCCCCGCCATCCCCATGGAGGCGGAGCTGTGCGTCCGACTGTAGGGCACGCGGGCAGGAGGAACCCCCTCTTGCCACCCCCTCACCCACCATGTTGCAACAGGGCACCGGGGCCGCGGTTAGGGGCGGCAGGTCGCAAGGGGCCATGGCTAGGGGCGACGGGGCCATGGCTAGGGACGGGGCCGGGCGCTGGGCAGGTACGGGGCCGGGCGCTGGGCGGGTACGGGGCCGGGCTCTGGGCAGGTACGGGGCCGGGCTCTGGACAGGTACGGGGCCGGGCTCTGGGCAGGTACGGGGCCGGGCGCTGGGCAGGTACAGGGCCGGGCGCTGGGCAGGTACGGGGCCGGGCGCTGGGCAGGTACGGGGCCGGGCGCTGGGCAGGTACGGGGCCGGGCGCTGGGCAGGTACGGGGCCTGGCGCTGGGCAGGTAAGGGGCCGGGCACTGGGCAGGAACGGGGCCGGGCGCTGGGCAGGTACGGGGCCGGGCGCTGGGCAGGTACGGGGCCGGGCGCTGGGCAGGTACGGGGCCGGGCTCTGGGCAGGTACGGGGCCGGGCGCTGGGCAGGTACAGGGCCGGGCGCTGGGCAGGTACGGGCCGGGCGCGGGCTAGGTACGGGGCCGGGCGCGGGCTAGGGTACGGGGCCGGGCGCTGGCTAGGGTCGGGGCCGTGCGCTGGGCTAGGTACGGGCCGGGCGCGGGGCTAGGTACGGGCCGAGCGCGGGCGAGAGACGGGGCCGGGCGAGGGCAGGGTGCGGGCCGGTCGCGAAGCTAGGTACGGGCCGGGCGCGGGGCTAGGAACGGGGCCGAGCGCGGGCAGGGTGCGGGCCGATCGCGGGCTAGGTACGGGGCCAAGCGCGGGCGAGGTACGGGCCGGGCGCGGGGCTAGGAACGGGGCCGAGCGCGGGCTAGGTACGGGCCGATCGCAGGCTAAGTACGAGCCGGGCGCGGGGCGATGGAGTCGACGGGGCCAGCGGGGCCGAGGGGCACAGCTAGGGGCGACGCCAAGGGGCGACGGGGCCAAGGGGCCGAGGCGACGGGGCCAAGGGGCCGAGGCGACGGGGCCAAGGGGCCGAGCCTAGGGGCTAGGGGCGACGCCAAGGGGCGACGGGCCGGGGCCTAGGCTAGCAGGGCAGTAGGTGGTGGGCCCATTAAGATTAGGTCATAGGAAATTGTTGCTCTTAATACCATGTGAGAATCTAGCGTGACTTAGGAGCCATAGCTAGGTTAGAGTGTCCGAGGGAATTGAGTGTCGAGTGGAATGTGCAAGGGAGAATCGAGAAAGAGATGGTTTCACTGTAGGAAGTTGGGATACAAATAGCAAACCCTAAATTGGGTTGTAATCACTACAGAGTACCCCACTGCAGGCTAAACAGCAAATACATTCTGACAGAAGGCACAGCAACAAGACCAGCTGCGAAATCTACCGAAACTCCCGGGAATCAAGCAGCAAGCTTCGATCCAAGCATGATGGATAAAATTTTTCTCCTTCATGTCCTTCTACGAGCAACACCAGCAAGCAGCTCCTGCGCAGTCAAACAACAGTGACAACAACAACAGGGTTACCCCAATGAGCCTTGACGGTTCATCTTATGCGCGCGGAAACCAGCAGCAACCTACCTTTGCTACGTACGAACCCCAACGCGGCTCCATCAGCTTCACGCCACACCAACAGCCTTCACCTTGACAAGAGAAGACATTGGACGCGCTTCAGGTTCAATCATAATTCGCACATGTTTTAAAACTACAGACATCAACACCCTTCGACGGAAAAGACTTCTATACCTGGTCATTCGAGTTCGAGCTGATGATGGAGGGCGCGCAAATACTTGGATTCTTCGATGGGTCCCTGCCATACCCAACGCATGGGACACAATACGACAAGCAGCAGTATACATATCAATCGCTGATGGTGTACACGATACTTCTTCGAAATATAACGCCAAACAAGCAGCAGAACATTCGGTCTTATCGAGGATACGGCAACTCCGCCGAGCTAGCGTACGACCACCTAAAGAGCCTGTATCAAGCAACAGACAGTGTTAATCAAAGTCGTCTCATGGCACAGCTGACAACAATGGAAAAAAAATCCGGCAAAAAGGGAATGGCGTGTATCAGCCGTTGTCGTGAACTGCGCGACAGACTCCTTTGATGCGGAGGATCGATATCCGAAGAAGCCTTCGTAACAGTTATTATCGCTGGCCTTGGTCCTCATTGGCGCTCCACTCGAGCACTCCTCCAAGCTCACGGGAAGATCTCCGAAGCAGCACTCTGCGCCGAAATTCACGCTGAACAGCAGGATATGGACCTACACGAAGAACGACACAAGAAAAGAGCGTCAGCACCAGAATTTGCATTTCATACTCAACGACGCTACAACAACAACAATCGAGAAAACAACCGACAAGTACAACAGTACGTCCCATCGTTCTGTCACCTCTGCAAGACGTCAGGAGATCCTCGCACACACTGCCCGAATCAGCAGCAGTCGACGTCGTCGCAACTTCAACTTCGGCCCTCAAGCAGTCAAGTAGCTTCTACACAGGCGCATCCCACCAATCAAGTACAGTCTTCAACGTCATCAACGACAAAACCTGCGCGAGGCACAAGAAACATCGTAAGCTGTATGACAAGAATGACAGACTCCTGCATCACCGGATCCCCACCGTTCTACTCACCAGAAGAACAGCTCGACGAGAGCACTCCTCGCCACGAATCACTAGAGCCCAATCGACGTATGCAGCCATCGCCTAGAGCGAGCCGTCCGGAAAAGACACTTGGTTCTTGGACAGCTGCTGCGGCCAGCACATGTGCTCCTCGGGTCGCTTCGTTCAACAGGAACACCAACTTCAACGCGAAGTTGTAATCACCATCGCCAACAACCAGAACCTTCACACACGATGACGAGGGATTGTTCAACTTCAATCTCGAGAAACGAATGTTATTCTACAAATGTCGAAAGTTTTAATCGCAGAAGGACTCGGCTACAACTTACTCAGCATCAGTCAATTGATGGCGAAGTGCATTCATCTTGAAGCAGATAGCACCACTCAGGAGTTCAAGTTGTATCACGGAAAACGCGGATGTCAAACTTATATGCAATAGTCTATATAGGCTGTAGTGGGGTAGTTCATATAGGGTACAACACTTTTAGGTTTCCTACTTGTACCCACCTGCTTCCTAGTTCATTCATTCGGTTCCTGATTCTAACATGGTATTCTGAGCAGGTTCCCTAGTGGGAACGTTTTTTTAGGGCCCACCACGAACTTTTTTTTTCCTGCCCTGCCCGAAGCGCGCTTTTTGCGCCTGCCCCTGCTGCCGTCGCGGCCCCTGCTGCCGTCGCGGCCCCTATTGCCATCACGGCCCCTACTGCCGTTGCGGCCCCTACTGCCGTCGCGGCCCTTGCTACCGTCGCGGCCTCTGCTGCCGACGCGGCCCCTACTGCCGTCGCGGCCCCTGCTGCTGTCGCGCCCCCCTGCTGCTGTCGCGGCCCCTGCTGCCGTCACGGCCCCTGCTGCAGTCGCGGCCCCTACTTCCGTCGCGGCCCCTGCTGATGTCGCGGCCCCTGTTCAGTCGCGGCCCCTGCTGCTGTCGCGGCCCCTGCTGCCTTCGCGGCCCCTGCTGCTGACGCGGCCCCTACTGCTGTCGCGGCCTCTGCCGTCACGGCCCCTGCAGTCGCGGCCCCTTTGCTGTCGCGACCCCTGCTGTCAAGGCCCCTACTGTCGCGGCCCTGCCCTGCTGCGGCCCCGGTCGCGGCTCTGACCTAACCGCCAGCTGCGGCCCTGCCCTGCACCCGCCCCTGGTAAGCACCCGCGCCGCCCCGCCGCCTGCTGCCGCGCCGCGCCGCCGCGCCGCCTGCTGCCCTGCCGCGCCGCGCCGCCTGCTGCCGCGCCGCGCCGCCAGGAACCGAGCCGCGCTGCCCTGCCGAGCCGCGCCACCCAGCCGAACCGTGCCGCCCCACCGAGCCGCGCCGCCCAGCCGAGCCGCACCGCCCTACCGAGCCGCGCTGCCCTACTCCTTGCACTGCTACTGCTGCTTCTGCTGCCTCTGCTGCTCCTGCTACTGCTCCTACTGCTACTATGGCTAGCCCTACTGTTCTCACCTTTGATGCTGAGGGGCGTGCAGTTGACTTTGACGTTTGGGTTGACGACATGCAGCTCTTTCTTCAGTGTGACTCTAGGGATGGGGTATCCCTTTTCGATCACACGTCTGGTGTCTCTACTGCTCCTGCTGCCAATGCTGACAGTACAGTTCGCTCGCAGTGGACCACTCGTGACGCTGTTGCTCTCTTGCTGTTCGTAGTCACCTGCCGCCTGCTGAGCGCGCGCATTTTGGCCAGTACAAGACTGCTAAGTCTTTGTACGACGCTGTAGTTGCGCGCTACTCCTCCCCTGCCACTGCTGCCCTCAGCCGCCTCATGCTGCCGTACCTTTTCCCTGATCTTGCCACCTTTTCCACAGTCGCTGACCTCATTACTCACCTCCGCACTAGTGACGCCCACTACCGCGCTGCCCTTCCCACTGAGTTCTGTGCCAAGAACCCCCCCTCCATGTACATCACCCTTTACTACCTAGTCACCCGCCTCCCTGACTCCCTTGCTTCAGTCAGGGACCACTTTCTCTCCCTTTGCCCAACCGAGCTCACTGTCGACCTGCTAGAGGAGCGCCTCGCTGCAGCTCAGAAGAGTATCTTAGCTGTAGGTGCTTCTCGCGGCGATCGTCGCACCCCTTTCTTTGAGGGGTGTTCCCCTGTCCCCCTTCTCCCCTCTGTTGCTTCTGCTGCTGCTGTCAACCTCGTTGGCATTGAGGAGGTCGGGGCTGCGTCTGCTCCTAGTGGGAGGCGCCGCAACAGCAAGGGCAAGGGGAACAAGGGTGGTGGACGGGATGGCGGGGGCGGCGGCGGAGGCGGTGGAGGAGGCGGAGGGGGTGGCGGTGGAGGTGGGGGTGGTGCTGGGAGTGGGGGCTTCAGTGGCGGCGGTGGAGGTGGTGGCGGCAGCGGCGGAGGTGGTGGAGGCAGCAGCAGCGGTGGTGGAGGCAGCGGCAGCAGTGGTGGAGGTGGCGGTGGTGGTGGTGCTGGTCGGGGTGCAGCCGCGCAGCGTGGAGGCTTTGGTGGTAGCCAGCGCCAGCAGCAGCCGCGCTCCCGTGAGACCCCGTCGACCCAGCAGCTTCGTGAGTGGTACGCTGGGCGTGGGAGGTCTGGGGGTGCTGGTCCCTGCACTTACGTTCTTTGCACCGGCAGCCGTCGTGGGGAGACGTGTGGTCTGCCACACACTGTGCAGCGCTGTTTCGGTCGCCTGACTGACGCATGGCGCGCCCAGTTTCCTGACGCTGTTGAGCTCCCCCGCTGGGGTGATCTGCTTAGGAAGAATGTGGCTATCTTTGATCTTGATTTCGATGCTATCCTTGCTGCCATGTATGCTTTGACTGATAGTGCTGAGGGTGACTGTTACCTGAGTGTCCCGCCCGACCCGGGCATTGAGGCTGCTGCTCTAGGTGCTAGTGCGTCTGCTGCTCCAGGTGCTGGTGAGTCTGCTGCTCCAGGTGCTGGTGAGTCTGCTCTCTCTGGTACTGCACCTACTGAGGCTTTGCACACTTTCACACTTGACTCTGGTGC